GTCCATCTGGAAGACTACCACACGGTGTACTTCGCTCCGGGACAAGAACTGGAGCGTGTGCAAAACGCAGCGCTGGCCCGAACAAGACTCACGGCGTTCTTCTCGCTCAACGAGACGGACCCCGAGGCCAGACAGTATCTCTACCATGAGATACCGATGCATTACACCTGGGTGGAAAGAGACAGGAGGTGGAATCGGCGCCAAAGGGTAATGGCCAACGAGACGTTGTCTCGGATGTACGCGGTCAACCCCCTAGATCGAGAGCGATTCCTCTTGCGACTGCTGCTGCTGCACAGGAGAGGTCCTCAGTCGTTCAGAGACATGAGGACCGTCGACGGGGTCGTGTATCCGACCTACGCGGCGGCGGCGGTGGCGCTTGGACTCCTGGAGGATGACCAAGCCCTGCTGGCGTGCATGACAGAGTCCGCGGCCGTGGACACTCCCGCACAGCTGCGTTACCTACTGGTGACGATCCTGCTGTACTGCGAGGCCGCGGATCCGCTGGCGTTATACATGGCAAGCGAGGAAGACCTGAGGCAAGACTTCTTCCACAGACTGAGAGACGAGGACCGCGCGAGAGCCGCGTGCCTGGACGCCATCGGGCGGCTGCTGCGGGGTCACGGTAAAACGCTGGCCGACTACGGGTTGCCGAATCCGGACGTCGCGCTGCTCGAAGAGGACGCGGGAGGAGACGTCTACGCCTTCGTCGACGCAGTGGTGCGTTGGACTCTGCAGTTGGACAACCTCAACGACGAACAGCGGGCGGTTTACGACCGCGTGATGGCGGCCGTCGACGACAACCGCGACGTCCCGAAAATGTTCTACGTCGACGGGCCCGGTGGTACTGGGAAAACGACGCTTTACGGCTGCCTAATATGGTCGCTCCGCAACATGGGCAGATCCGTGTTGTCTGTGGCGTTCACGGGAATAGCGGCGACGCTCATGGACGGTGGTATGACCGTTCACTCGACGTTCGGTTTGCCCTTCGGTACACTCAACGAAGATTCGACGTCGTCCATCGCCATGCAGTCTCTGCGCGCGCATAGGATACGGGAGGCGGCACTCATCGTCTGGGACGAAGCGCCCATGTCTCCGGGGCTCCAACTGACGGTGGTCGACCGGTTGCTAAAGGACATAATGCAATCGGAACTACCGTTCGGTGGTAAGACGGTTCTATTCGCAGGTGACTTCAGACAGATACTGCCGGTGGTCCGCAGGGGGACGAGGGCCGCGATCGTGGCGGCTTCAATCAGGCACCACCATCTGTGGGACGTCTTCGAGCGTTTCAGCCTGACGCAGAACATGCGGGCCAACAACGACGCGGACTTTGCCGCCTGGTTGCTTCAACTCGGCAACGGCCAGCTGCCCGCGGTCGACGGAAATGTGAACACCGTCGAAATCCCCAGGAATATGGTATGTGACATAGCTAATTTGATTGATTTTGTTTACCCGCAGCAAATGTCGTTGGCTAACGTCGACGACTTTGCTCGGAAAATTATTCTCTGTCCCCGGAACGAGGATTGTAGACAGGTCAATCGCACGGTGCTGCAACGCGTCACGGGTGCCGCGAGAACCTACACCGCCATAGACACGGTGGTGGCGGACGACGTGGACGAGATTGCCAATTACCCGACCGAGTTTTTGAACTCGCTGGAGCCCGACGGACTTCCTCCGTACAGGCTGACGCTGGTGGTCGGTTCCGTGGTCATGCTGCTGCGGAACCTCGATCCGAAAATCAGACTGTGCAACGGAACAAGGTTAGTGGTTACGGAACTGAGGCGCAACAACTTCAAAGCGAGGTTGTTGGCGGACGCGGGGGAAGGGCAGGACGACATCGTCATCCCCAGGATACCGCTGTCGTCCAGCGGAGACGACGACCTGCCCTTCACCATGCGTCGGGTTCAGTTCCCGGTGAGACTTTCGTTTGCGATGACGATCAACAAGTCTCAGGGTCAAACTTTTGACAGAGTTGGTTTGTTTCTGCCGTCCCCGGTGTTTACGCACGGACAACTGTACGTTGCGTTCTCACGAGTGCGGGACTCGGAATCAATAAAAGTTGGTATGTACGGTGGCGACGACGGTCGATTTATCACAAGGAATATAGTGTATTCAGACGTGTTGTGATCGGCCGTTTTTGTTTAACCTTAACTTGAGCAGTGCAATTACACTTAATACTTATTAGTTATTACAGTCTAAATCACTTATGCCGATAATTTTTAATTATTTGCTATAAATTTAGCCGTCGCTATATGCGACAGCGGGTACCTGTGTGCTCCGACCTGTGTGGTCCGACCTTTGTGGTCCTGTGGAGAGAAAGTTTGACAACCTCCCCGTGGTTCTCTCTGGATGCTTATTCACTGCAAAGTGAATTCGTAACTAATGTCAAACGTTTTGAAATTAAATTAATTAACTGGTTTTCAGCATACTTATAGAATTAACATTTTCAGGCTGTTGAAAAATGGTGAACAACTGTGTTTGGTGTGGAAACATTGATGCCGCCATGGAGTTTCTATACACAAGTAAGTATGAACCATTTACGTCCCAATGAACATGACCGTTACACTCACATTCACATTTATATTTAGGTTTCGACGGATATGGACGCAGTTAGTGCAACACCATGGGTCACAAGTCTATCAAGCTGTGTTCGAGGTTTTTTGTTTCTGGAGACTTCTCGACACAACACTGAGGTTATTATGAATATTTGCATTAGTATTTGTTCATTTGCCACACATATCAAAACCACCAAAATGTGTTTCATTTGTATTAATCACAACTTAATACTCTTATAACAATTTACTTTCATTGACCAAGTGCTTTTAATGTTTATATTTTATTGTAAAACCTTATATTCATGAGTATACTTCGATATTCTTCATTATAAATGTTAATGCATTTGATTTTCTGTGATCACTGTTAACTATTACTTGAGAACTATTATATGTTGTATGTGTTATTCTTATTCACTATTCACTATACAATTTAATATTTTTGTCATGTTCTCAGGTTAATTTATTATCAGAAATATTTCATTGACTTTTATTTTTAATGTTTAACTACCCCGTGTTCAAGATATACTGACGTTGTGCTTAAAGTATCTTTACCAAACAAAATGACAAATTTGATTCTGCCTCACTCTTTTAAGAACTACATTATACTATAAGCTTATTCATTAAATTCATTAACTGGTATATTGTATTTTTAGGCTGTTTTGTGTGGAAACATTGAGATACAAACCACAACATGCCAGGCCAACACAGCACTGCACTGCTACCTTCGACAGTGATATTATTGGTTCAGTTCCCACTCTGTGTTTCATTCATGTTAACCACAACTGAAAACCCTTAGAAACATTTTTGAAATGACACCCAACAAAATGACAAATGCTTTTAATGTATAAACTAATGTATGTATTTGTTTTACTTCTTATTGTTAAACCTTATATCATCAAAAAAGACAAATTTAATTCTGTGATCACTGTAAATATTGTCGCTGTATTTAACTTAAAAGATTAATTATGTTATTGTATAACCTTATATTCGTACTTCAATGTCTATGGACGACGGTCAATGTTCTATATTATAACAGTATGATTTTCCTTTGTATTTTGTTTCTTAAGTATCAGTATTAAAATTAGTCAAATTAAATTAACCTCAACTTTTTGTAACATGTCGTATCACTATCTATTTGTTCAATCGCAATTGTAATTACCTTTTAACTATGTAACATTGTGTTCGTACTGTAAAATACCTACAATACATTGAAGTTTTTATTTTTTACTGTCGATACCGTGTGTAGGTAAATACACTTTTGTTGTATGTGCTTATGATATGGTGGTTGGTTAACTGTGACTGTAGTATTTCAATTATTATACATATTATTACGTTTGATTATACTTATTGTATTATACTTATTATTATTATACTTATTGTGTATTACTTTTATTATTATATATTACTGTATATAGATGATAATACACATATATTTAATATTATATAGTTGTTAGGTCTTTATCTCTGAGTATGATCAATTATTGGTTTAAATCCATAACTAAAATATTAGTGTCGGCACGCCGTTTGTCGATCAACTATTGATGTAGACCACGAACATACAATAGTAAGGACTGGCTACTGCTCGACCAGTGTGATTCGCTTATTGTCGCCATTTCAATAATAATCCGCTAGGGTCGCTATTGTGCGTTCGCCCTATTGCCGCCAATGTAGAAGCGTAATTAGCGTATATAAACAAGTAATACTTCGATTTATTCATTTATTTATTTATCTTAATTAATTATATCATGTTGTATAGTACCTATACTATAGTAAAAAATTTTAATAATCTAACTTTATAAGTATTTTCACCGATTAAAAATAAAATAAGAGTTGTTATTATAATTAATAATGATTGAAATTCGGGAATAAGATTATGCAAACATTTTAATGATTCTTTCATACTTTCATAAATCATAATATCGAATACATCAGTAGTCAGAAGTCTGGTGCAGTTATTTTGTTAAGGTTAAGTAATAATGATTTATAATATTTATTAAAAATTTTCATTATAGGTAGGTTCATCAGAAAATATAGTATTGAAATTACAATATATTGTACCTACTGTCCTACTGCATACTTGTTAAAACTAAATGAAATCAAGAATTAAAAAACAAAACTTTCTTAAATATCAAAAAAGCCGTATTTTTTTAAGTATATAGCAAAATAAAAATATTTTGTACCCAATAATTAGTTGAACATGTAACTTATTAATATCTAAAATAATTTATCCAGACCAGAATAAAATTAACTATTTTATTAATGTAGGCATGGGATGATAAAATAAAGGTAGGTATTAATAAATCAGAAAATAAAACTAGTAGGTAATAAATTAATTGAAAAAATATTTACAAAACACAAACTATTGTAATGAAGCATTAATTAATTTTTTTATTTAAAACACTAGGTACTATGTACAAATTAAGTTTACTTAACTTAAATAAGTAATGCCTAACTTAAAGTAAATTTTGAAACCTTTTTCTTTATCATGTTTTCTTTTTTTGTTTCAGCATTACATTTTTGGGAAAATTGCCGCATTCTCATATTAATATAATATCTAATTGCAAAAGCAATTATTTCTTCGCTATGCTGGAAACATGGAAAATAAATAATATTGTTTTTTAATAATTCAGTTAATATCAATTCAAAAACGTCTGCCATTAAACAATACTTTGTAAATAATTGTTCAATTTTACAGACAAAATTAAAAAAATGTAAATTTGGATGAATAAGTCCACCTCTGGAAGTTAAGTTAGTTAGTCGAGCAACAGGTTCAACCGAATTCAAATATGGTTGCTTAACTGCAGCTTGGCAAGTAGTACATTTGAAATAACGGATTATTTGTTTAGACAAATAACCGGTGACATAATATAAAATGCAGTCTATTACAGGGGATAAATAATAATCATGATCGCTGACTTCTGTAATTCAATGTAATTCAATGTAATTCACAAACCACTTGCCTTGGTTTAAATACAAATTCTTTCCTCGGTATAGCTTTTTTCCATAGTTCAAGTTTAGCCAGATCTTTTGGGACAGTGAAAAAATGGTATTTATTGACACAGGAGTCGTAACCAGATTTACATCCTGGTACGATGCACCTGTGTCCCGGCATGATAAATAATGAAATTAAATTAATATAAAAAAATTTTACAATAAACTACCTATATACCTAGTACCTAATAGTAAATGTTCACGTATTTTTACGGTTGTTGCGATTTTGTTGGGCGAACGCATATGTGGCGCTCATAGCGGAATTTCTCTATTATGGCGACGATAACCGAATCATAATTTTATATGGACGAGATAGCAGAGAGCAGCCCCGTGATGTAGACTATTCCAACTAACACTATAGATAACAGTCATACCTTAATTGTTCATCTATGTAGCACGTAGCTAATAGCTTGGAACACATCTTATCATAAGAAAAAAAAATATTTATTAATACTCTCATGGATAGTAACATTTATCACACTACTATTATTTTTATTAATATGTTGCTGCTAATATTAAAAAGTTTGGAAAGTCATTACACTAATTGGTACTGAAAAACAGATTTATGGTTTAATTATTGCAATTAGTCTAATGACCGTTGCCAAGCTATTTGAATAGCACCTACATATTATAATCATTGATTATAAATACTTATATTATTTATATATATATGTATAAATATATTTATAATCAATGATATAATATACTAATTGTCACAGATAACACTTAACTACTTTAAATTCTCAACAACAATATTATTAATTATTTTATATTATCAATTACTTTTTAGTGTTTACATTATTTTATGTAACAATACGATTATTTATCAGTCCATATTAACAACAATGTACGCTATACAAATATTTTCAATTGATTACAACACTTGCCCGACAATGTGGGATTTTATAAAACTACTAAATTTAAACACCAGTGGACTACAGTTATAATGATTAATTATCTTTTAGCACATTTTGTGAAGTAAACCCTATTCTGATGAATAAAATCAAGATAAGGTTTTCAACACTTACATTTCAAACCAGCAACACACATCACTTACCTATTTTATTATTACTAACTAATAATATATTACTGTTGTTAACCAACTACAAAAATATTTAATGACACACCTCACACACAATTGTCAATTGACAAACGTTACTGTTACAGTTCATAAAACAATATTGGGATTAAGGAAATAATAAATAACAATAAAAGTTACATGAAATGGTGCTTTATTCATTCTGAAAAATATTTAAAAAAAATACAATTGTTAAATAAATTATGAAGTAGACAAAATCGTCCAATTGAAACTTACCAGCCTCCATCACCACCCACTGACCACTGTTCGCCGACCCGATCACACTGAAAATGATGTATATAATTATATTTTTTTAATATTTTAATTTATATAATATTGACTATTCTTACGTTGGAGTTGTGGCGTTCTGGCGCTGAGGAGTTGAGGAGGCGGTCGTGTACCCCCCCACCTCCTCACCCGTTGATCTCGGTGTCGAGGCTGCGGCCGGCTCCTCCACCGCCCTCGACATCTGACCGACAAAACTACTGAAAACAATACATTTTATGTTTTTGATGATAATTGACATATTTTGGTATTTGCGATCTTACCTTAACTCACGGCCCCGCCGCTGCTGATGTTGCGGTTGCCGCCGCTGTTGCGGTTGCCGCTGCCGTCGCGGTTCCTGCTGCTGTTGTTGCTGATGCGGCCCCGACGAGGACGCGCCCGGCGATGCCGCAGGCACCACGCAGGGGGAGTCTGATAAAATTTACAAAAGCTTAGCACGTGAAAAAATAAATAATAGGACAAACTTACCGCAATTTCTCGCCAGGTGACCCACCTGTCGGCACCTGTAACATCCTGAAACGTACAAATCATGTTTAGTGTTATACTTGGCTTATGCAATACACATGTGCTTTTTTCTATTAGATACTTACGTCGGGCGTTTCCTCCCGGACGCCGCACGGGGACAGCATTGTGGTATACGGGTGCATTGTACACCCGCATACCACGGCCGTTAAAACTTTGACGACTTATGTCTTGACGACGGCTGTCTTTCGGCATGCTAGATTTCAAAAAAAAAAAAATTGTTTTATTTAAATACGTAACCATAACCTAAGAAATATTATTTTAATACTATAAGCGACGTGTACTCACTTCAAAGATGTTTTGAGAAATGATTGATAAAAACCAAACAACATGCAGCTGGCAATGCATTAGATGTCTCTTGACGCGGTAAAAATAGCAGCCAATCAGAAAATTTGATTTTGTCGACTTATTTGTTATAACCGCGAAAACATAACAATGATTACATTGATAATTGATTACAATGAAGCCTACACCAGCAGCTGATAACTGTTCTCTATAATTATCAAAAAATACAAATTTTGTTACCTCCTATATGCTTTTTCAGATTTGAACGGCCGTTTCGAGCACTTTTCGCTGTAGGCGAATTGTCCGTTCGGGAATCGACTTTCACCCGAGATGACTGATAGGCGATAGCTAGACACTCAAACTCAGAACCCGAATTTCCGATTTCAACACACACACTCCAGAACCGGACATACACGCCCGGTGCATGGTCTGCGATCCGACGTAGTCGGATTGCCTACCTGACTATCTACTTGCATACGAGCGACTTACACCCCCACTGCATCCGATACTCGTTAATCGACTTTCACCCTAGATGACTGATAGCTAGACACTCAAACCCAGAATCCGAATTTCCGATTTCAACACACATACGAGAACCGGACATACACGCCCGGTGCATGGTCTGCGATCCGACGTAGTCGGATTGCCTACCTGACTATCTACTTGCATACGAGCGACATACACCCCCACTGCATCCGATCCGCCGCAGGTGGATTGTCCGTTCGGGAATCGACTTTCCCCCGAGATGACTGATAGCTAGACACTCCAACTCAGAATCCGAATTTACGATTTCAACACACATACGACTAGACACTCTTCCGAGTTCAAAAATTACCGCTTAACCAGTGCTGCCAACACGACAAAACACAATACCCGACGACCCCCCCATTCACGCCGCAGGCCGGATCAAAAAACCCAGCATCGCCGACAAAGATGCACCACCGCCCACACAGTCTTTCCGCCGTAGGCGGGATGACAAACACTGGAATCTAGTCTTCTCTATACTATAAAGCAAGAAACCGAGGGCGCGTTAAATCCGAACCATCGTAAGAGAGAGCCAATGAGAAAATTCAATTTCCCCGGAGGGCGGTCTCCCGGCGGCGGCGGAGCCGTCGCTGCGTAATCAGCCTTTCTTATCACTGTTTCGAGATTTTTTCGATTTTTTCGAAATTTTTCGAAATTTTTCGAGTTTTTCGAGTTTTACCCCCTCGGGGGGCCCGGGGTCTCCCCGCTGTGACATTATTCGCGTTCCCCGCTAGATTTACAGGCCACGCGCGGCCGTATTTTCTTCCCGGCGGGCCCGCGGCGGCCGATCTCGCGCGCGATACGAGCGCCGCCGTCGCGCGCGTTTTTCGCCTTGTTTTTCGAAATATCGAGTTTTACCCCCCTCGGGGGCCCCGGGCGTCCCCGTTTGCGTTATATTCGAGCTCCTCGCTATATTTGTAGCCGGCTCGCTATCCTACTTTTTCAAAAATGAGTCCCCTCATCCGACTAGACAGTCGCCGACGCCGCGGCGTCGTCACGATTTCGACGGTTTTTCCGACTTTTTCCAACAGAGTCGCGTTTCGCTTCGTTTGTAGACTTTTCACCTCCCCGCCGAAGACGTATTCGAGTTCCCCGCTAAATTTATAGCCGGCCCGCAGTCCTACTTTTTCAAAAACGAGTCCCGGGGAGGAGCGGCGACGCGCAAACGAGAGTAGGTACCGAGTGGGTACGTCGTGTGTGTGCTAAATACAGGCATAAATACATGCGTCTCGACGTCCGATTTTTTTCGCGAATCCCACCGAATCTCGAATTTTACCCCCCTCGGGTCTCCCCGTTTGCGTCTTATTCGCGTTCCTCGCTAAATTTGTAGTCGGCGAGCTGTCCTACTTTTTCAAAAACGAGTCCCGGGGAGGAGCGGCGTCGCGGAAACGAGAGTAGGTACCGAGTAGGTACATTTTGGGTATCGCTATATACAGGCATAAATACATGCGTCCCGACGATCGATTTTTTTCGCGAATCTCACCGAATCGAACTTCCGAAGCCGGTCGAGACGGTCGTCCCCTTACCGACGCGTTCGACCCCCCCCGCTCGGACGCCATTTGACGGACGTGGACGCCGCTTTCCAGTTTCGGGTGCACGGCGACGCGGCTTAATAGTCATAGATTTGACACGATATTTCATCTGAGTAGGTAGTCGATAGGTTAGGGCGCTAGGACATGTAACTAGGAGTCGTGGGTTCGATACCGTCCCCCGGCGATATCGAAAATTTGCGGCGGCCGTGATAATCTTGAGTTTTATTTTCGCGTTTTTTTTTTCGTCTTTTCTCCATCAGTTCCGTATTATCATATTTAAATAGTCCCCCCTCATAGTCGGGGTACTTTTGACCCCCCACCAATCAAATTTTTTTTGGCCGAGCATAACTTAGCCGGGGATCGTCGTAGCCGTATTTTGTAAACGGCTATGGGTTGTGGGTGACCACGTGCATACCATATCAAAAATTACCCCCCCCCTCCTTTTTTTGATTTAAGTATATCTCTGTCACGTTTCGACTTGGGTCCCCCGTTTTACCACCAAAATTTACGTTTCAAGACCCTCTAAATAGTCCCCCCGTAGTCGGGGTACTTTTGACCCCCTCTCAAATTTTTCGGTGACAGTTATGAACGCCGTCCGCGATTCGACGCGATAATAATAACTGACTTACATGTATGCTTTGTCGTAGGTACCTATTAAATATATCACAGTTTGGTTGAGGTTGAGTTGTTGGTAATATTATGAATAACATATTGATATATATATATATATATATATATATATTATGTGCTATTTATTATATACATGTATCTTTATACCTATTGATATATTTATATAATAACATTTTATAAAAATATATATATATTATAATATGTAGTAGGTACTTAATGTATTACAGTTTTTAGGTGAGTCAAATTATGTATATTAAAAATATA